GGCAGCTGGAAAGCCAGTTGGAAATAATGGTATGGAGATGTGCTCCTGGAGTTGTATGTTTCACTTGGGATGCAAGGAATTCATGAGACTATTTTAACCATATTAACTTGATCTGACGTTACCGATTGACAGAGAAGCAGTTATGCATAGGCTTTTTGTGAAAACAAAACTTATCATTGTGTGTAAACTACTGAAATATAATTATACTTTATTTATGTGAAAAGACCCAGTTTAATTCTCATTTTTAGAACTAAATAAATAATAGTTTAGGTTAAGTTTGTAATTATTTATACTATTACCAATCACAACCGAGTTTCATGAACTGAATTTAACCCTGTACCTCGATATCTTGCTTTTCAGCTACAGATTATCGACAGCAATGTACTCAGTTACACCAGGAATGAATTCCGATATGAGGAAATCATTAGTGCACTTGCGTTTGCATAGTGGAAAAATTAACTTTATATACTCCTTGATATTAGTCATTATTCAGTAGTCGCTCGTGCTGAGAAATCTCTACCTTCTTCTTCTTATTGTTCATCCCTTTACACTCTGTACTGTATGAATATCATATCTGTTGTGAGGATCAACCTGCATTTATAATCATAGGAAACATTTACATACAGACAGGTTAAATGTACTAAACAAACATTCATTGACACAAGTTTCAGACAATTTCGAATCTTACCTCGACGTTGTCTGTTACATAAAACTGCCTAATTCCCCATAATCTCGACAGGAAACGACCTGAATTTTAGGGTGTTGTAGAAGCTTAGTGCTGTAACATATTTTCATACCAACGAGGGAAGTACTCTAATCAAATCAATTTGATGTTTTCACATTGTATACTATTTATAAGTAGACGTAAGTAGTATACAGGGTGATATCTTCAGCAAAACAATAATAATATTTCGTCTCTATGAAAAAGCTACTGAAGAATAAACACAGAAAGAAAGTAAAAAAGCTGAGAAGAATCTAATATGCAACGGATAACTATAAATAAAACAAATATAATACGGAATGAATAGTATCACCTGCAAATTGTGAAGTCAACGTAAGATTTATGACTTTCTTGATGTTCTTGGTACTTTGTCCCATTCAACAGTAGTTCTCTCCTCACCAGAATTGTTCCTGGTCAACAAGTTTCGAAGGTCGTTTATTAGTTCGATATTTCTTTTAGTTAGTTAATCATGTATAAGCATACTGATGAAGATTGTCTTGAAATGAATTTAGTTGGGCGATGGCACGTTGATCGGATTGCATAAACAATATTACGACTTTCAGTTCTTTAGACAATTTAATCAAACGATTCGAGTAATGAAAAGTAATGAAATCTGATCAAGACGTGTAAGGCCACTGTTTTAAAACATTTGACCACTGAAAGAATGTCGCTACACATCAGTCTTGACAACATCAATCACATCTTCATAATTAGCAATTTACCAACCACTTCAGTTAATAACAGTTAGTTGACATAATTCGGTACACATTATAGTGCATTCTCAGAATGCTACTTAGGTTTTGATTACGTTATACACTAAACAGCTCTCCAGAAGATCATTTTCACTGGAGAAAACCTGCCAATTCAGTATATGAAATAACCAGATACTAACTAACTAACATTCAGTGACAAAAGTGAGTGCTCAAATACTGAGAACTAGTCTTAAAAATATAGCCGGTTAATGAAATATGTAAGAAATACGTTTATACTGATATATTCTGGTTAATACAAAAATGAATAACTCAAATTTTCACTCTATCATCATCCCTTTAGGTAACAATGATTACTTATCATCTCCAATGAGTGTCTTTCTACTACTCACCACACTTCTTGGTTCAGGAGGAACCAAGGGTAATACAAAGTTGCAAATAGCTGGAGCTGTTGGTTTACGAAGAAAGAGGAAAACAGAAGCCGCGTCAAGGATATTCAATTCAATATACAAGAATTTGACAGACGAAAAAGCTAGTGGAGCGAATATCATCACTATAGGAAACGGAATGTTTGTAAAGGACGGAGCTAAATTGAAGAAAACGTTTGTAACGACAATGAAAAGAGATTTCTACAGTGAAGTTGCTAATGTGTGTAGATCTTGGATGTCTTGATATGTTTTTTTTTCCAGGATTGAAACTTTCGAAAATCCTGTAGTTGTTCATATGACTGACTGATCTATTTTGTGTTAAGCATATTTTTTCCCTTTGACGGTGACTTACATATATATGAATACATTTGTAAAGCAGGAATTTGGAAGGCCTGTCATATATCTGCCTCACAAATGTATACTGAGCTGTGTAAAATTAATGGTACGGAAATTGCACCAAGGATTTGTCACTAGTGACAACCTTTCAAATAATATAGAACCGTGTGTATTGAGCTTTCATTACAAATCTATCCAAGAAGTCTGCGAAGTTCCTTTGTAGAAACGAAAATAATTATTTCACTCGTATCTGTCTCTTCGTACCATAGGGATGTTTTATCACAGCCTACACATTAACCAAAGAACATTTAAAGCCATATGAAACGGCAAATCATTTTTTATTTTATACAACTTGAAGACTAAATTCATCTGATTTAAGTTTTTAGCTGAAAAACCGTTTTCTAAAGAAACAGAACTTCTTGAACAAATCTTTAAATTCTAGTTATATGAGAGTCAAGGAAACAAGTAGTTTACGAATAGTATCTAGAGACAAAGAGTTATGTCACTGGCTCTTACTCTGTGTATTATTTCTAACATTATTCACACGTAAGGCTGTTTTGCGTATTGTAAAAGCGATTTGAAGTTACGCGTGTACAGGTGTCAGACATGTTTATTCACACTGTACAGATGTAAAAGAATTTTAGTGATCACAATAGTTGACGCTCAGTCATTATTGTGTATTGTAAGTTACAAGTGAAGTTCATTGCTTATTACTCAGGATTTTGTGCTAAGCTACACATTAATATATATTAGGGAGTAATGTATCACATTAGCTAAACAGGCATTGTGAAATGATGCGAGCAGTGTCGTGAGTCATACACCATAAAACGTTTTCGTAGGTTTAATCGTACACAACTAAAACTTCCTGAAATGACAATTAATAAAATACACGTCTGAATTTCAATCTCAGGTGGATTTCACTGCTCAAGAAGGTACTAGGAAAATTATCAATGCATGGGTTAGCAATAAAACAAATAAACTGATCCCTGAACTTTTCACAAAACCATTATCGACAGAGACTATTCTCGCTCTGATCAACACGCTGTATTTCAAAGGTGAGTTATTTATGTCCTTACATTAATGTTCACGTTTTTTAATATAAAATTCTTTGTTATTTTGTAGCATTGATTTTAATTCCTTATATGTGAAGCCTTAATGTTAGATGACTGAAGGCAATTGGCAGGAAGCCTTGAACCTAGGTCCCTTCTGAGATTCGATGCATTTGTATCTGAAGTCACGTGTAATTAATCCGAAATTGATTGTGTACTTCAACACACTGGAATACAAATGCATTGCAATGAATAGCAGCCACGTCAAAATAACCTAACAGTGACGTTGAACAATCAGTCAGAATCCAGATACGAAAAGGTTGCGAAATCGTTAAAAATGTATTAGAAAGTATTGCAAACATGATTTCACATTGGATAGTTGTGTCTTCTGTCTTGTTAGAATGCTTCCCAGTTTTTTCAAGGATGATCTATAGAGAAATCATATCATAAGCGAAACATGCACTCATTTAAGTGACTGTAGTTCGTGGTACTCTGACAGCCATCGTTATTTCCGACTATATTCTTTAATCTATCTCGAAATCCTTCGATGGAGTGTGTGTACATGCACGTAATTGCGTCCAAGAAATTGAAGAAGCGGTTAACAGGTTAGTGAATATAACCCAAAAAGACATTCCGTTATATTCCTGCTACTCGTCCGTATATATGTTTGCTACTAGTCTTTGCAAAATCCAATAGTGCATAAGGCATAAGACATCCGACAGAAACAACTTAGATTTACAGAAAAAGTACCTATGGAATAAGTAAAATACTGCATCTATAGGTACAGTTCGTTAGGGTATGCCGTAGTAACACCAATCAATCCATCAATTCACACAGTAATCAATCTTTATCGGACTCATTCGGTAAATCGATGAAGGCGATTTTGATCTGATTTTAACTAACTATTCGTAAGGTTCCTACTGTCTGATAAGTTGTTCATGATCGGGTTTTGATAATCACTGGCTGTGGATGATTGAATTCACGTCAATAAGTGCATAAATCTGTACAAAACCTCATCATTCGTCTTTTCAGTTTGTGAATAAGCCTGAAACTAACTTAAAACTACCTTACCACTAATAAAGCGTATAACAGAGATTCATTTAACAGTAGCAACACAGGGTCAATAAACTTAATAGTCGCACTATTCACCTAATAATTAGATATCAGTTAACGAAAAAGGCCAAACAGTGTAACTGGTTACACCAGACGGCCGTTTAAGCATGTATGTAATTTAGACTCACAGAACGTAACTTGTAGGCTGAATGGCCTAGCTGGTTAGAACCATACTCAGAGTTCCAAAAGGTACGAAACTTCGATCAATGGCAGGCATCCTAGTGAGCTATTTCTTTCAACATTTAATTTTTTTTAAAAGGTATGCTCTATCATATGGAATATTTAATCAACTTATCAAAGTGCTATTTTACATAGTAATGATAACGTCATTTTAAAATCAATAACTAAGTGGTATATGCATGTAACAAAAATCCTCTGCTAAGCAAAAGCTGATCACATACATTTCGGAAAGAACCTACATATCTGGTTGTAGTCTTAAGGTTACCTAAACTTGATAAAAATGTCATATGTTGCATATTTCATCAGACAGTCTCAGTTCACTACTTGAATCCGATTATAATGACTAGACACTAGAAGTAAACATGTTTTATCAGGCCTTTTGATTTTGTTTAGAACACTTTACAAATTCTGATGTTCACTGTGTACATTTAAATTCAGGTGTCTTTACAATTTTATTCTTCTAATGACAGGAAAGTGGAAAAAGCCTTTTTCTAATCGTAGTACTTCCGTAAAGAGTTTCAAACCATCCAATCAACCTATAATTAAAATATCAATCATGCATATCACTGAGTCGATTGAGTATGGAAAATTTGAACAACTTAATATTCATATGATCAGCAAACCGTTCACGGTAAGCGAGAAAATATTTTGTCAATTTCATTTTGTGCTACAACTGTAAAACCGATTAAATTATGCAGAATATTAAACGCTTACACTAAATTGGATATAGAAGGATGTTTCTGTGATATCTTCTAATGACCTGATAATCTTTAAATCAAATGGTGTGATTTTATTACCCTTCAGAATAAATAGTTGATCACTATCTGTTTCTATATCAAATGAGTTTATTCAACATAACACATTAGGATACAGTATTATTAACTAGATGCCGTTTGGACACCTATTTATTGCCCATAATCATATCAGTGCATTCACATGACTCAATAACTTGTCTTATATACTTTTACTCAACCTGATTTGTATTACAATCGTCCATATATCCAGTGGAAACATTGAGTCACTTTGATTTCACCTGTTCTGTGTTGATCCCATAAATACAGATTCGGTGATTAACCTCCCCCTCTACCTTCCTGTATTACGTTTAGACACTTTACTCCACGCACACACACACACACCCTTAATGTAAGTTAGACCAACAGAACTCATCTAGAATGAAATTACATTCTAGCACAGTGCTTAAATTCTGCTATTCTACTGTCCTTTTCGCTTGCGTAAATCAGCAGTTGGAGCAGAAAAAATCCAACACACTACTAATGAGTTCAATCCCAAACAAGAAAAGTGGCTATCTAGGAACTAAATTACCTTAACATTCTTGAAGAATATCAGTAATTAAAAAAGAATGGCTTACTTTACGAAGGGAACCACAGATATGTCTTATCACATGAACTAAGCATTGGAAAATCCTTATCACCATCGATTGACTTTTAACAAGTGGATATTATGAAGGGCAGCTTTTCAGGTAATCTGCATTAGAAGTTGATCCATTCAAAAAGCTTCTGAAAACTACAAAGTCCATCACAGGTGTCTTTGAATTTATCATGAATTTATCAATTAACTCATTGAAATATGTCATGTCTAGAGAACAGCTCTCCTCTCTTTCTCTTTCTTTCTCTCTCTCTCTCTCTCTCTCTCTCTATATATATATATATATATATATATATATATATATATACTTTTAATTATTGTGAATACACAGTTATTGCGGTACACTGATAACTGTGCGTGATCTGACGCCATAAGTACTAAACTTTTGGAAAATAATAAAATGAAAGCTCAGGTATAATGGTAAGATTTTTATGGAGACAGTCGAAAATATAAATTTTAGGGAGATTAAAGTGAGTAAGTAGAACGAATTGGTGAGGAAGGAAGAGTTTAACCACTGTTTGTTGAATAATTAGAATTGATGTTGATCTTCTCATAGAAATAATACAAAACCACAGGTCGAAACCTGAGGCAGAGTAAAATACACGATGCATACATGAAAAGATTCATTTTCTGAAAATATATCCGTTATACTATTCTTTCCTTGTGTCACGAGTGGAAAATAGGGCTTTATGCTTGAGGTTTCGGGGTTTCCCGGCTTACAACCAGCTTGGTGAGACTTAGGAGTATGATGACCGGGAATCAAACCCTGAACCACACATGTTCGGTGAGAATTCTACCGACGAACAAACGATACACTAACTTAAAGATAGGCAATATGTCACCCAGTAGATGTTATGATTTCAAAATCTGCAAGTTTAGAGAACGACTCCCTCTCTGGTTTTAATCCAAGGGACATCTACAAATGACACTGGTCCCTGAAACCTATCCAATCCCTTGGTAAAGATGGTGTGCTTCAAATTATCCTCAGGAAATCAGCTGACATTTTACGTTATACTCTTACGGGTATTTTCAATGAATCTTTCTCCACCAACACTGTGCCTGGTTCCTGGAAGGACATTAAAATTGTCCCTGTGCCTAAATCATCAAATGGACCAAGTGTTTAATTTAAACCTATTGTCATTACTTCACTTTTTTAAAAATAATAGAAAAACTGCTTTTGCCTAACCATGAACCTTCATTGAAAGCTCTTAACGACCCTCATCAATTTGTTTATAAACATAGTAGGTGGACTTTAGATGCTACTGTCGCCTTATATCATGATATTGTCTCTAGTCTAGACAAAGTGCCAAATATGTTCGATGTGCCTTCCTAGATTACATATCTGCCTTCGACTCTGTACCTCGGCAACTTTTGTTAAAGAAGCTTGCTGTGACACAGGTAGGGTGCTGGACTACTAATTGGTTGCATTCCTATTTGTCTGATAGGACGCAGTACACATTTCACAATAGGAAGTCCTCCACTGCTTCACTTACTCTAGCTGGTGTCCCTCAAAGTACTGTTTCTTCTCCTTTTCCGTTTTCTTTTCTCTTACATGCCTTCCCTCATTCAGATTGAGCCAATTTTGTTAGTTATACTGATGATCTGACTGTTTCTATCCCGGTTAATTCTCAGTCATATTGTTCCAAAACGAATAACCTTTCATCAGAAATCAGCTGTTGATGATTCCCAGATGGCATTAGGCATTTCTTCACTATTATTTTTCCCTTGAGTTCTGAGTGGAATATAAGGTTTCAACAACATACCTTCACTTCCCTCTATTTTATCCTCTCCTATTCAGCTGGCCAACGAAGATTGCCCATAATCTCTCATCTCTTCTTCGCAAGATCTTCATGTCACTCTCCCACCGACGACCCACTCGTCGCTTCCCATGGGGATTCCGATCGAGCGATGGCCTGCATTATGTGCAATCTCATTCGACGGCCCCTCAACATATGTCAATCCATCTCCATCCTCTCTATATTTCTGTTGAGTAATCAGCTCTTCGTTGGTTGATTTTTCCCACCCAGAGTTTCTTGTTGCTAATTCTTTCTGACCGGCTGGCCAGTCGATCTTCAATACTAAGTCAGAGAAAACAGCTGTTGATACAACTCTGTAACTGACTGACTTCACATTTGTGTTGACAATCCGAATCTTGTTATTTATCCTGAGGCGGAAGCCAGAAGATTACCAAACTGGTTTCAAACTGATGAAGGCATATCTTACCTTTCCGATTCCGGCTATTTTTGACATCTTCATCATTCCACCCGTGATTCCTAGATAAGTGAAGGAAGTAATCTTTGTTAGATTTTTTTCTCGTTGATAGTGATTGGTGATGGTTGTTGTTGCTGCTGGTTAATTGGTCATCTTTATCACCTCTATCTTCTCTGTGTTCATATGGAGTCCTGTCTTCACTTCTGGCCACCACAGTCATTTTCTCGGTTTTTGTCTATAGATCTTCGAATTAGACATAAATCACCCACGCGCAAAATCCAAATCTTCTAGAGTCTTCTTATTGGTGCTCCAGCCTACTCCTGTCTCCTTGCTCTCACTGCACATTCTGACGCATAATCAAGTCCGCCTCAATTAAGAATATCATCGGTGATAATAGGCAGCAATTCTTGTCTTACTCCTGTATGCACTTCGAACGCCTCACTGACTTTTCCGTTGTGGATCACTTGACATGTGGCACTCTAATATATATATATATATATAACATTTCTGTACTAGGTAGTTAGAAAATTAAACACAGTAGTGTATACATACTGAAAATGGCATATTTGTATCATAAGTACTGTTGGAAATAAAGCTCTTATTATTACTATTATTATCATGACGAAGATAAAATACAAACTATAATATTACATATCTATCGCTGAATTATGATGATACATTTTACTCAGCTTCACCAACTCACTGAAGTACACAGTAAACACTTCGACAACAACCAGATTGTTGAACACAATAACATAATGAATTCATTATCAATAGTCGAATCGTTTTAGTTATGTTCTTCCGAATGAAAAAGACTTCATCACCACAGATTATAGTTTTATAAATTGAAATTTTACGCTATATGAACATTTATTTATAGAACATATTTTGGAAATTTCAGAATACACGATTCACGTTTGTTGTAATCTTACCAACTACACCGGGAAGACTTGAATATCCTGATAAAGTACTGAGAGGAGAAATCGAACTACCAGAATTGATGAAACAACTTCGACCAACTCAAGTAACCCTAGGATTACCACGGTTCAAGTTAGATACATCACTTGATTTAGTTGGAACAATAAAATCAATGGGAGTAACTGATCTATTTGATGCAAAATTAGCAGATTTGAGTGGTAAGTACACTATGTTAAGTGTTGAAGTTGTCATGTTATGTTGAGACATGTTTGTGACGTAGAAAGCGATAGAGAGATTGTAGCTCAGGTGGACGACATTAGTTTAACTGTGTCTTGTGAGCTGGATGTCTTAACTGCCGATGTTTCATTATCTTCCAGGACGACATCGTCACAGTCAACTTCAGTATGAAGTTGGCTTTTAGAATTCTGCATCTATGTGACAAATTCTCTTTAGATAACATTGACAGTGACTGGTTCTCTTTGGAAATTTTCTTACCGTCTACATGTTCCGATATTGATTATATTGTTAAACCCATATTTAACCTCTTTTCTGTACAACTTCTTTTTCACCTCCTGATAAATCTGATCTAGAGTTCTAATGGGAAGTCCTGACCAGGAGAGTTAAATAAGTTGGGGTTAAAACTCTCCAGTGGTACTGATTGGCAGTTATGCTATAAATCTAAAATCAACAGAAGTTAGAATTCATAGGCGAATGTAGTCTATCCTATCACCTGAATGATAAACCACTCGACTCGTAAGCTGAAGGATCTCACGCCGACCCCATTTGGTCTCATGAATGCGTATCCCTAGAGAGTTCAAACAAGGACGAAACAGGGGCTCACTACTGCCGGGCTTCCATTGGTTCTGTAATTGACGTTAGTATTTGATCTAACTTGAAATCTGATCTATGTCAACTTAATAAACAAACAAATATGTTATCAAAGAGATCTCGTTTCGCGACTTCACTTCAAAGCTGCACAGTCATTTCAGGAATTACACATATACTATTAATTGACAATAGAGTTCACAGGTTATTGTGCATCAGTCATAGAAATATTTCAAAACTTATCATGTCTTTTGATAGCTGGCTTATACTCGTGGATGAAAAGGTGAAAGACACTTTGACCAATATAGTATTTGCAGTGTACTCATTCATGAATAATTTGTTGATAAGTAATCTCTCTCAAACACACTTTTTTATCAAATGGACTAAAATCCACACAGAACGCTCAATTTTCAACTTCGTTTAACGACTATTTCACATTTCTTGTTTCATTTTAGGAATAACGAAGGCCAAGATTTCCGCTGATGTTCTTAAACAAAGTGCATCTATTAAAGTTAATGAAGAGGGTGTAGAAGCTGCAGCTGCGACCGTGATAAGCATTTCATTGACCAGTGTAAGAAATCAAAAGCCTATTCTATTCAATGTCAATGAATCATTTGTTTGCTTTATTTACGATAAAGTATTAAACACACCACTATTTGCTGGTCGTGTGATTACGCCAGTATCACTGAAGGATTGAGAAATGAAAACAAAAGAAGATTCCTATCCAGTTAAAAAGAAGCTGTCAGCAAAATTCAATTTAATTCTCTGTGTAACTCCAGAAATATTACATGTTTAAAGTTGAAATATATCAAAACTCGAAGAATGGTTTGCACAACTCTGTTCATATTTTAGGATTTCCATGGCATATCTCATTCACGTTTTGTTGATAAAAATACAGTTGATTACCCCCAAATGCATGCAGAAAGATCTGTTCAGTGTTTTTAAATCCTTTCATCTTCTGAAATTAACCAAACGTTGTCATTTAAAGAAGTATTCACTATCTATGCGTAAGTATTCGTGACTAAGTGGCTGAAAATGTAAATTTTAGAAATTTACTAGATTCATGAAGGGCATTTTTAATCAGCATATAGATAAGAAAACAAAGTTTATCCGGATGTCAACACATTCAGGCCTTTCTTTGTATGCTGAATATGAGCTGAGTTTTAGCAAGAGTGAATCTGATTCGAGTGCAATGATAAAATAACAGTATCTTTTCAGGGACAATTTGATTTCTTCAAACGAAGTGTAGATAGATTTCATCCTCATGGAATAGTCTATACAAGACGGTTGAAAACACCATGTGATATAAATTATAAACACATTACTCTGCAAGAACATTCGTTTTCTAACTTTACTTCAAAGCTGTAGACCTAGATAGTGTTCTGAAAGGTCAGGGAAATGCCTATAATGGTCGACTGTTCATATCACTTGGTGACAGAACATATGAAGTTATATCTCAAGAAAAATAACAAATTTTATAATCTATGAGCATTAAGTAATGAACATCGCTCAGGAATGATAACCATTAAAATTACAAGCAGTTGGAAACAGAAATACTGTTTAAAAAGGTGAGAGATTCGAATATTTTTATAAGGTATATTCTGAAATTAGGAGTTTGGAAGGAGAGAATGAGGGAATGAGATATAGTAAATTAATAAGGATTACACAACAAATAATTGAACGAGTTAAGTAAAGGCAAAGTTTAAAGCCCCGAAAGTAAAAGGGATTGGATAAACCATTTCAGCCCACATTTTCTACTATAGATCTCTTGAGCAGTCAACTCTTGGGTGGTAAGAATGTTCCCAGCCAGAGTTTCTTCTTAATAATTCTTTCTGACCGCCTGTCAATTTAATCTTCATTATAGAGCCAGAGAAGACAGCTGTTGATAAAAGTTTGAAGAAGCCTATTGGAAATCCTTTTCGTGATACGCCGGTCAAGTCTCTCACCCTTATAGTTACACTGACTAACTTCACATTTGTGTTGAAAATACGAATCTTGTTGTTTATGCTGAGGCGGAGTCCAGAAGATTTCCAAACTGATTTCAGGTTGATGAAGGCGCATCTTGCCTTTCCGATCCTACCTGGCTTGTCATTTTCATGCATGCTGTTCCCTGTGGTTGAAACCGTCCTTCCGACCAGATAAGTGAAGGAACTGACCGCATTCAAGTTTCTCCTGTTGATGGTCACTTGTGTTGATTGTTATTGGAGGTGGGTCGGGTATACCTTGAAGAAGCTGTCGAATGACATCGCGCAAAAATCAGGCCATCACTCGAGTAGAATCTCAATAGGAAGCGACGAGTGTGTCGACGGTGCGAGGGTGACATTGAGGAGATCGTGTGGCAAGAAGGAGACAAGAGATTATGGGCAATCGTGGATTCACCTGAAGAGGAGAGCAGAAAATAGAAGACAGTGGAGATGTGTTGTTGGATCACTATGTTCCCCTCAGAACCTAAGGGAAGAATAATAATTATCTAGATATTTCAGATCAGCCGTCTCTGGTGTTGTCATTCACGATGAAATGGACGTCCATGAACTCATATGTTTTACGCTGTGACTATGCTAGTATTGGTTCGTTTGAAAGGACGAAAGTCAGTGGTCAGTTTAGTGAGGATAAGTCAACTGTGTATGAGAGGGTAATTGTTTAACTGACTTGCATGAATGAAGGCCTTTCAGGTTTCAATTTACTATTTGAATATTATTATCTTTTATGTGCCTTCGTTTAGTTGGTCAGATACATCGTATGTTTGTTAGATATCTATATTCCACGATATAATGTCATGAGCGTGTCACCATTCAGAATTGAGGATAAAGATGACAGAAGGAGGTCAGCAAATGAACTCTGCCACGATTTCTCAACTCACGGCGTCAACCTGAGAAGTACTGTAGGCATATTGCTGGAATTCCTACAATTCTTCTTCGGTAGTACATCGGTGCGCAGTCCATCGTACTTAGTGTGTTGTTTTGTACATATGTTCATGTTGTACATATTGATTTGGTATCTTCTCTCATTATTTGTCGGTTAATTTTGTTTGTGTCTGGACCCTTTTCTACTTGGATCGTCAATGTGATAAGGAATGTAGGCTTACTGCTGTAAGTCCTACAATTCTTCAAGAGTAGTTCGTCAAGGCAGAATCCACAACAATTGATCTATTGATTGTACATATATTCGTGTTAAGTAACTGAGTTAGTTCCAGTTCATCTCATTGTTGGTTAATTTTATAGTTGTCGCATTGTGGAATCATCTCCTAATGTTATTGTAAGTACTTCTGAAGTCGTTTCAAGTCTTCTACAATTGTGAACGAATCGAGTGGTATTAGAGTCAGTGTACGAGATTCGATACGCCGAGGAGGGGATTGTGGTGGAGTGACATGAAGCAACCAACACACCGAGGATCAGATCAGTGACGGTACCGTCGACAGAGAGCGAATGGAGTTCCGATCACTGAGTGACATTCCACACACCGGGGAGACGCACTGGCGTGGTGTAGTGTGCTTGTTGTGTGTTGGGCTTTTTTGTCTTGCATTTCCATTTTAGGCTAGTCCCGGTTGACCCAGGTTCCCGCGTTGGCAGTTCACTTCAAGGTTATCGGCGATATGAAAAAGAGGGATGGACCCCTTTTTTCCAGGGGAGTGTAAAGGAATGTGAACATTGAACGTTGGTTCATTGATCTTGTAAGCCATTGGCGGGCAACTCGAAAGCGCGGATGGTTCAGTCGTGTACAAGTTGGAAGAGGACGTAATAATACGAATAAAAATACATTATATTTATTGTAAAACATTGATTTACAGATTTTGTACTAATCTTGATTTCAGTTGCCAAACAATACAACTTCTTTCTTACAAGTACTGGTGTTTTGTAGTTAAAGTTGAGAAACAGTCACAGTAATTATCGGTTCGTAGCGTCTTCGCAAATCATCGGAACTTAGGGTTGAGTTCCTTAACAAGATACTTCTTCTTAGTTAATGACTCTTCAGGACTTCTCAGACAACGCGGTACTACCTTGTTATATATACTGCAACAACTGCTTATCATTTTGTTGTGGCAGAACATACACTTCAGCAGTTTGTACTACTCCACCACTTCACTGAAAACTGTGAAAGTACGGAAAACTAGCAGTATAGTTGTTCCTCAATATTATTGATTTTTTTGTTGATAAATAGAATTGGTATATTGTGAGATCTGTCTGCTAGCCAAAATCGGTACACAGAAATTTACATAAATGTTTGCGTCCTCAATATCCGTCATGTGAAAACAAGAACAAAGACTGTCTCAACAACCAATCATAGAAGACTTTTCGTCGGCGGATACAATTATCAGATAGATGATCTCCCCTTCAAGAAACAGCCACAAAGAGATGAAAGATTAACTTTCAGTGAGAAACCACCGATCAGAAGACTATTTTTGTCTGCTTACAATTATCTATAATAATGTACATGGAAATCTATAAATATGTGTTGATTTCTGCGCATTTCGTCCTATTTGGGACTCGTCACTGGATGTACCTGCATTCTCAGTGAGTGATGATGTTCCCACCGAGGCTCGAACCCAGTACCCATAGTTTCAAACGCCAAAGCGTTATCCACTAGACCACTTGGGCCACGAGAGCCACCTCTTGTGCAACGGGTCATATTAATTATTGAATTGAATTCTTGATTTTCCCGTCGATTGATTGGACCGAGTGGTCTAGTGGATAACGCTTTGGCGTTTGAAACTATGGGTACTGGGTTCGAGCCTCGGTGGGAACATCATCACTCACTGAGAAATGCAGGTACATCCAGCTGACGAGTCCCAAATAGGACGAAATGCGCATCCTGGATTCCACTGCTAGCCACCATCCACCAATTGTATACTAACTAAATGCCCGGACATCGTCGAAGCATCTGCACAAGAAGCCAACATGTCAACCTGAGACCGAGCACTTCGGTCCAATCAATCGACGGGAAAATCAAGAATTCAATTCAATAATGTGTTGATTTCCTTAATAAACGATCTGATGACTGACTCGCGCCTTCTGTTGTTATAGTCAGAGCAGTCCCTTGGATCATTCACATTCTGATAAATTTGGTAAATAAAATAATAGTGTAGTTAGGTGTGAGTTGTCAGTATAAGTTTGAAGAGGGAATTACAAATTTCAGTTAACTTTGAGAGAAGGTCAACCTACTGAATAAATTATTCCGTTGGAGGATTTCATCATGAGCTGACATCAGTTAGAGGACCACTGGAAAACCTGCAGGGAGTACTGGATAGCCCTTTTGTCAGTCTAGTTTGGGACTGGTTCTCCAGAAGTACGCACCCAACACAAGGGGTCGATCTCAGGAACTTCTGGTTACAAGGTGAGCTCGTGGACCATTGAGCCACTGGGACACCCAAACTGCGACGAAACAACTATCCAGTGCTCCAGGTTTTCCAATGGTTCTCTAACTGATGTCAGCTTATAATGGAATCCTCCAACCAATCAAACAAAATCCTCACAGTAACCATACTTGTCTACTTTGATGTTAAACAAATGACAAGATCCAGTTAAAATCTGTCAAAGATTACTTAGAGTCAATGCAGTCGTTGCAGAAACAGCAAAATGTTATGTTCATTTGGAACACTAGTGGATCAAATCAGCTTACCTTTACCTAACCGACTTATTTTGTGTAGAAGAGAGTCATGGTGAACTGTGTCAAATACCTTCTTAAAGTCTAGGAAGACTA